TCTACATGGATACCTCCCGATACACCCCAGGTGTCTTTGTGGGGTCCTTCGTGCGGCAGCAACAAATCCTTAACTGTCTCTTCATCTAGATAATCCTGCTGCTGCTGCTGCTGCTGCTGCTGTTGCTGCTGCTGCTGTTGCAGCTGCTGCTGCTGGTTGAGGGGTTGTTGCTGCAGCTGCTGCAGCTGCTGCTGCAGTTCTTGCTGCAGCTGGTTTTGCTGTTGCATCATCTCTGTTGGTTGCATCTGCTGCAGCTGCTGCAGCCACTCTTGCTGCTGCTTCTCTTGCTGCTGCTGCTGCTGCTGCTGCTGCTGCTGCTGCTGCTGCTGGTGCTGGAAGAATTGTATATAAGGCAGCATTTGATCCTCTGGTGTAATAAGGGGCTTACTATTGCTGCTCACGCACCCAACACGGGAGGAGACAACCTCTACCCTCTCCCGGGGATCGTCTCCTCTCTGCCTGTCTCCCCGGGGATCGTCTCCCCGGGGATCGTCTCCCCGGGGATCGGGATTGTCTCCCCGGGGATCGTCTCCTCTCTGCCTGGGATCGTCTCCTCGACCCCTGGGCTTGTCTCCTCGACCCCGGGGATCGTCTCCTCTCTGCCTAGGATCGTCTCCCCGGGGATCGTCTCCCCGGGGATCGTCTCCTCTCTGCCTGGGATCGTCTCCTCTGGGATCGTCTCCCCGGGCATTGTCTCCCCGGGGCTTGTCTCCCCTCTCCCTATGACTGTCTCCCCTCTGCCGGGGATCGTCTCCCCTGGGATCGTCTCCGCTCTGCCTGGGATCGTCTCCTCTCTGCCTGGGATCGTCTCCTCTCTGCCTGGGATCGTCTCCCCTCTGCCTGGGATCGTCTCCCCGGGGATCGTCTCCGCGACCCCGGGGACTGTCTCCTCTGGGCTTGTCTCCTCTCTGCCGGGGATCGTCTCCCCGGGGATCGTCTCCGCGGGGATCGTCTCCTTTCTGCCTGGGATCGTCTCTTCGACCCCCCAGCAACCACTGTTTATAAGAATAAGGTGATGGAGATACAGAGAAAGTAACATTAGTAGCAGCAGAAATACTGCTGCTGCTGCTGTTGCTGCTGCTGCTGCTGCTGCTGCTGCTGCTGTTGCTGCTGTTGCTGCTGCTGC